CAAAGAGTCTAATTAGATTCGTGTATGTCCACACTGTCTTATTATCCTCCGTGATTACTTTTTCAATTAGTTTAGTGGCTATTTCAATTTGCCTTTCTGGATAAAAATTTTCCTGTAGTTGCTCATCTTGTCTCCTTCCCACTTTCACTGATCTTCCAAAACTTAGCTTGATACGTTTGTGATCGCTACCCAGACTTCTGGAGCCACCTTCATCTATGTGCATTCCCCTGAGCTTATCATACATCCTATGTGACATCAGTGCATAATCTATCGTCGACTGCAGCCTTCCTACCTCCCATGTTATTTGCCCTTCACACTTCTCTGCACTGTTGCTAATGATCAAATCAAGCCTTTCACACATATCCATGATCATTTTGCCTGTCGGGTCGGTATACCCATCTATATCTTCTATGTGCGCATTCATGTCTCCTAGTATAATTATCTCGCACTCTCTTCCTAACTCCTGAATGTCCTTTGATATACACTCTACCGTTGCCTGGTTTTCTTCTCTGGCCTTTGCTCCCGTCCACAAGTACACAAAACCAAGGAGTGTCATTTGACCTGCCACTTTCCCTTTTAGCCATAAATGTTCCGTGCACTCCTGCTTGACCCTTTGCCAGTCTGTACTTTTATGAATGAATGCCCCAATACCACCCCCTTTCTGCTGCCTTCTGTTCTATTACAATATTCCCACGCGTAGTCCGGATTATTCGGAGGTCTTTCCATGTTTCTGAGATGTGTTTCTACAAAACCGTATACCATCGGCCTCTCTTCCCTTAGCTGTTCTTCTATCTCTTCCCACTTCAGCCTGTTCCTACCACCCTGCATGTTAATATACCCTATGTCTGAATTGGCTCGGCGCTTGTGGCTACGTCTATGCCCCGGACTCTACCTATCTTAGATATTGGTGCCACTTTGGAACCGTATCTGTCCATACCACCTGTCGAAGAGTCTCCCTGGTTGTTTTCCTCGTTACTAGCTATCCTGCACCTCGAAGGGCTCGCTTGCCTCCCAAAAAAGCTACTGCGCGTCCTGCAAGTCGCCAACCCACCTCATGACCTAGCCGCCCATCGAAGTGAATTCTGTCTCGTTGAAACCCCCCCCCCCCCCCCCCCACCTATGCACCTCTCTGTTTATTTCCACCACCTCAAAGCCTTTCTCTCGACTCATCCGCCATATATCTTGGTTTGCGTTGACCACCACTCTTTGCAGGTTGCTATCACGCACCGGTACCTCCGGTATCGTGCATACTACTACCTGTACCTTAGGAGAAGTGGCGCGCATGTCATCGACGCCTTTTGCCAGTGTGGCTGCTAGCCCTGCTGCATCTTCATTTAGGACATCGTTTAAACCGCCTGAAATTATCACGAGGTTCCGTCTATCAGCTGTCGTTTTGAGCTTTGCGCTCGCTTGCCTCATGACTGCTTCCAGCTTGCGTACTGGGAACGCCCCTACTGCAACCCTCTTGTCACCTCTTACCCTCTCTTTGATGGCTTCTGTGCATCGATTTCAATTCGAGTTCCCGGCGATTATCACATGCTGTGACTTTTCAGCTTGAGCGTTCTGCACCTGGGGGCTACTTGCACCTGTGACGCCGGCTGCTTTGTTCCCTCCCTGCCCCACCACCACCTCGCTGAAGCTGGGCCTTGCGATAGTTGAACCGGCTAAACCTGTTTTTCCAAACTTGCTTGCTTTTCCTTCTCCACCGTTCTGGTTGCCGGTTCCCTACTGTTCTCTTGGTAGGTCGCTTCTTTGTTCAGCTTCGCTAGCGCTTCCTCAGCGGACTTCAGTCTTTCTCCCATTGCCCCCGTTTTCTCTTGCTCTGTCGCCAACGCAGTCTCGAGCTCGGCGATTCTCATCAGCAGTTCACTCTGGGCGACCATCATTTTCACCATTTTTTGCTCGACCTCACATCGCCTACACTTCGCGTCAGCCTCTTCTCCATCCGCTTCTACGCTTGGGTCCACTTTCAAACCCACTCCACATCCTGAACACTTTACAGTCTTTTTAACCATGCCTTTCTGACACCAATTGTCCCTATACTCGATAATTACTAAACTCGAGCCCTGCACTACGAAAAAAAAAGAAAGTCTAAGCTCTACTACAAAAATTTGCGTGTTCAATGTACGCGCACCTCCCCCACGGGGTGGCAAAAGAAAAAAAAAACAACAAAAAAATTTCAAACACACACACCCGCACTAACTAATAAATACCTGGTGACTGGCCCCCAAAAAGCCGTACCATAAAATAAGTGCTACGAAGATTTCAACCGCTGCCTTATAATTATAAAGACAAGCTCAAAACATGCAAAAACACTTATCTGCGCAGTCGATCCGGAGCGCTCAAAAAACACGTCCATCCACCTTGACAGCCCGAACTGAACGATGAAAGTCGATGTCACGACTTTCATCATATAGAAGTACCGCCATCCAGCGGACATTCCAAGGACTAAACGAGAGGTGGCACTCGCGCACTTGCTTAAGGCCTGCGCTTCGTGCCTAGTTCACGCCTTTCACCGCCTCTAGTTCATGGCTGTATACTAGTTTGCTAGTTCACAACCTAAACCTTGCTAAAACCAAGAAGGTTACGCTCAGCGAGTTTAACGTGGCAACCCTTTCTGGTCAGATATTGCTCAAAGTGCGTTCTTCTGATACTAGCGCTTTTTTTAGTAAGCATCAAATATAAGGCCAATTTTACTGGAGAATAAGTCGGCAATACAGATTCCTGTAAGTTATTTCATCAGAAGCAACTATGTTTTTAATAATGACTAACATGCGCGGGTTTCTTAGTCAATTGAAAAGGGAGCGCGCGCGCCACTTTCCTAGTCCGGCCGTGGAGGTGGCTACCGACTACTACGACGACGACTACACGACCAACGGCCTAAGGAGCTTCACCCCCAAAACTGACCAAGTACATGGCTAAGCATTGGGCCGGCCAAAGTGTTACAGTGTGTCCTATATAGTATGAAGAGCACAAGAAATGGGTGCATTCTAAATAATTTTTGCGCACCACTGAACTGGCGAGCAGGGTGCATGCACATCTTGCATCGCGCGCTCGCTTTGGTGCAACGGCCGTTGCAGGGGTCGAACCCACGTCTTTTGGTTCAGAAGCGGCAGGGAAAGGTGAAGTTGGTTGCCGAAATATTAATAACACTGCACATTTTTCTATGCTGTTCTTTATGAACTAGCGTATATTACATGCCTGAAAAAAAAACACATAAGCGATTCTTTTTGTGAACTCTATAAATCAAAGCTTGCACACGCAACAGCGATTCACCGTCCATTAACAACATTGATAAAAATATTGCTAGACACGAGATTAGTGATAACTAACAGACAATGATGTTTATTAGAAGTAACTATGACGTAAATTTGAAAAAAAAACGTGGAAGAAAAAAAAATGTCACAGGTTCCGCCCCTGCCGGTGGGAAGTTATCTTTTCGTTCTGCTTTCTTTCCTCACGATTGCTTCCAAATTACTTCTTATAACATGCCCTATACGTTCGTTGGCATCATTGCCCGTTAGTCGTTATTAATATTATGTTACGTACTGCTGTTACTGGGACTATTTTGCACGCTCACACTCAAGAGCCAATGATTAGCCGGCGCCTTGTTTGTGAGCCAGCATCTCCTTTTACATTACATCATCAACAATTACAAAAAATGAGTAACAATTCATTCACCTTTAACTGTATAATCGAACGTGAGAAGCATAAACCGACAAAACACGGAAAGAACTTCAAAATCAATGACGCCGTTCCGTCTCCCGTGCGCGGGTCTTGTTCAATTGCACAAGACCCCCGTATACGGGAGTCGAAACGTCTTGCTCTTTAAAGTTATTTTCGTGTTTTGTCAGCGTATTCATTTCACCTTTGACTATGAGCATTGCCGAAGAGACGAGTTTTCATGGAACCCTGGATTTCATTTGAACTTTAACTTTAATTCTCACTCGGGGATCCCGGGCACGACACGCCATGCACACGTCACTTTCAATGTCATTCGTATTGCGAATGCCAGATTTTTTTTTTTTTACGCATGAGCCATTTAAGCTAGATTTTAGCATTGATGGTGCATGGTGATTGTTGATGGTACCTCGTCTAACCGAGCGAAAGTGCACAGATTGAAATTCGTGCATTTACTGTTACAAAATAGTGTTAAGATCAACCCCAGGTCATTTGTTACATACAGCTCTGCCTGAGAAACGCGACGCAAACACAGATTCACGTTAGAAGAATTTCATCCAACTAACAATTTGTTTCGCTTCTCTTTTTTTTTCCACGAGCCGTAAGAGACTAGAATGCCTTTGATGAATTTATCGTTACTCAACCTACGCTAGAAATATTCTCTGAACTCTTGGATGAAGCTGTCTGACGCGGACACATGTCACTCTGTTTATTGTATTTTTTTTTGTTATTTCGCTGTTGCTGTGGTATGCGTGATGTGAATGCTTACTGTGTGTAAATTTAGAGTGTGAATTTTTGTTTGTATACGTGTAAATGTCTACTTCTTACACAACCCATAATTTGCTGTTCGCTTTACTTCTGTACATTCATGTACGATTTACCTCCCACCCCTGTAATAATCCCTCTGAGGAATTGGCAGTATTTGAAAATAAACGAATAAAAATAAATACGAAGCATGTTGACATTACTTTCTCATTCGTTGCCCGCACCTTCAGCTTATCCCAAAGAGTGTGCAGAGGCAACGCAGTTATCAGGGATCACAACCGTACAAAAAGCACCCACCGATCTTGATTGATTGATATGTGGAGTTTAACGTCCCGAAACCACCATATGATTATGAGAGACGCCGTAGTGGAGGGCTCCGGAAATTTCGACCACCTGGGGTTCTTTAACGCGCACCGAAATCTGAGCAAACGGGCCTACATCATTTCCGCCTCCATCGGAAATGCAGCCGCCCCAGCCGGGATTCGAACCCGCGACCTGCGGGTCAGCAGCCGAGTACCTTTAGCCACTAGAGACCACCGCGGCGGGGCACCCACCGATCTTGGTGAAGCCGGCGAGTATGATGAACACCGTGAAGACGAACGGCACGCTGACGAAGTTCCACCGGATGCTGGCCACCGTCACGCCGTGGTGGCCCTCGGCGTGCTCGTGCTCGCGCTCGGCGGCGCACTGGGCCTCCACGTCGCCCACTCCGGTCTGGTGCGCGGGGGCGCCCACGACTTCGTCCGAGCCGTGGGAGGGCGGCGAACGGTGCGACGAACCCACGGCCGTCGCCAGCGGGTCGTCTCGCACCGACGACCTGCGGTCGGTCGGCTGGCCCACCCGGTCACCTGCACACACGATGCGCGCACGACGAAGTCCCTTTCATTTCAACGATTCATGGTAACTGACGAATTTCGGCAGCTTCGTACCCGAACAACCCGCCGTATATACAGGGCGTTCCCACACAACTTGAGCCGAGAATTTGAAAGTGAAAGGCACTTAGTAGGCGAATTGAACCAAACGCATTTTACTCGCACTAGCCTGTATAGGTACTCAGGCTATTTTTATTTCTCCCTGTGTCTATCCTTCTCTCTCTTTTTACTCCCCTCTTCCCCTCCCCATGTGTAGGGTAGCAAACTGGACGCATAGTCTAGTTAACCTCCCTACCTTTTCTACATTCCTTCTCTCTCTCTCTCCCCCTCTCCCTATACTAAATGATTAAGAAATCTTGATTACCTATTTTTTAAAATTATGAGCTGGAAACTCAAAATATGAGCACTGAGATGTAGGCCACTTTCAGAAACCTCCGACTAAATTGTGTCCTGCACGACACGTCTCGCGCTGCTATTTTTTTTCCACGTTTTAAAGAAAGCCCGCGAAACGTGAAAAAAAGCCGCGTGACGGACCGCGAGCGCACTGCTATAGTGCTGCTGCTATAGGCTCTCTTTACAACGTGGAAAAAATGATGCCGCAGTTATGATTATGCACTTTTTAAAAACCCTAACGAAGACCGGTCCACAGGTCGAAAACGTTGGAAATAAAACTAAGACAACCGCTAAGTTTTGTCTCCTCTCTGCTCTAGTATACGTTTGGCTCATTGGAATAAATTCTCTGCAGTATATATATATATATATATATATATATATATATATATATATATATATATATATATATATATATATATATATATATATATATATATATATATATATTTAAGTATATCCTCCGTGAGAACGATATCAACGAAAGCGTTTATTTCGATAGTTTCGGCCAGAGTCTGGCCCTCGTCAGCAATGTGTCTACATTGTATGCACGCTGACGTTTATATTATTTTCAGCGAGAAAATATGAGAGGGAAAGAAGAGCTAAGACGGAAAAAAGAAAAGAAAAAGAGAAAAAAGAAAGAAAATAGAAATCGTTCCAGGTCTCACATCGCTATCCGAGTGGCATCGTGCGGAGTGTACTTTTTTTCCCCCAGACAAACTGTTCGACACCCCCGGGGCCCTTTGAGATGACAGCCCGAAGGTGTCTTTCGATGCCCCTCCTGGGAGGAGGATTCGCTTGGTATTATTCTAAGCGACCGATCTTGGGAACAAATGGCACCGACAGAGATTACAAGTAGGACAAGACGACAGCGCAGGTGACGCTAAACGGCTCCTTCTCTAAACGATGAAGTTGCGATAGCACATCCTGCATAAGCATAATCTTGACGCGTATTCACTGAAGTGCAAATGATCAAATACCGATGCCGTAATATCAGATCACGGCATCATTACAATATCGTTCTCGAGATACGATTCAACGCTACCTATATGGCATATGTCCTGCTGCAGCGTTGACAGGCGGGCTAGTTGGTACAAATTCATAATAAATTAATTGAAAGCGCAAACCAACGGGACACAACGGTATATAATTTTTTCTCTGAATAAACTCAGTTTCAGTCTGCGCTTGTTTGTCTCTTCTCTTGTGTCACGTTGGTTCGCGGTTCCAATGATTTCATTACGAGTCCTGCTATCAGGTCTAGTGTTTGCATTTCCTTGGCGAATTTTCTTTCAGTTGAAAACTTCCGACCCTACTGAAGCTTGACGTTCACAGAGCGAAAAACCAGACACGATGTAGCTAGTACATTCTAAATTTCAAATAATAACAATTGTTGATAGCAATCGACATGATTATGAGAGACGCCGTAGTACAAGTCTCCGAAAACTTCAACTACCTCGTTTTTTTTTAACGTGTGCCTAAATCTGCACATGGTCCTCTAGCTTTCATCTCCTCCGAAATCCAGCCGTCGCGGCCGGGAGTCGAACCCGCGACCATCAAGTGAGCAGTTGAGCACCATAACCATAACTCCGTTCACGCTCAGGACCCAGCCCCGCCGCTTCTTCTGCTGTCCTGATTACGCTTTACAAGTACGTTCGCTTAATGCATAAGTTCGCTTAGTACACACCTTGATGTGAATGCGATAGACAGCCCTCAAGACCCACCTCTGCGGCTATATTGCTGTCGTACAATTTCGCTTTATATGTGCCTTCACTTGAAACGAACAAACGCTTAATACGCACCTTGGTGCGATGACTTGTTGGCAGTGGACGATGCATCCACGTTGGCCAGCGGCCTGCTGGCGTTGCGAGACAGTGTTTCCGCGGCAAAGACGTGGTCGATGGTGGCTCCGTCTGTGGCCGCTGTGGCCAGCGTGGGTAGCGGCACATCGTTCGGAGACGGAGCACCGCCGCCAGACACCGAGGCGCCGACGTGACGCCGATGCAGAGACCGGGACGACGCGTCCGCCGAACCAGACCGCTGCTCTCGCCAGGAACCTGCGTGCGTCAACGAAAGGCGTCACTTCCGTTTCGGGACGGCTTTACATGTTTCATGAGTCGCAGGGATTTGGGAGATTTGATTTGATTGATTGATTAATATGTGGGGTTTAGCGTCCCAAAACCACCATATGATTATGAGAGACGCCGTAGTGAAAGGCTCCGGAGATTTCGACCATGCACCTGGGGTTCTTTAACGTGCACCCAAATCTGACCACACGGGCCTACAACATTTCCGCCTCCATCGGAAAGGCAGCCGCCGCAGCCGGGATTCGAGCCCGCGACCTGCGGGTCAGCAGCCGAGTACCTTAGCCACTAGACCAACGCGGCGGGGCGATTTGGGAGATTTGGCGAGACCGGACGATACTTCGCGAGACGATGTTGGCAGCGGCGTAAACAGGAGTGACGCAAACAATAGGACGAAGTAACAGAAGTTGGTCGGCTGCACTTCCGATGGAGGCGAAAATGTTGTAGGCCCATGTACTCAGATTTGGGTGCACGTTAAAGAACCCCAGGTGGTCGAAATTTCCGGAGCCCTCCACTACGGCGTCTCTCATAATCAAACAGTGGTTTTGGGACGTTAAACACCACATATCAATCAATCAGAAGTTGGTAAAATGTCACGTGACGCTCAAATAAGAACCAAGTGTGCCTTTCTCTAGGCTTACCAAAAGCAACATGTCCTCGATACCACATGACGTCACCTTGTGAAATCAACCTAACAGCACAAATCACCAAATTTCAGGGCGTAATTATGGCATAATCTATGGCGTGCACTTGACAGCTAGTATACCGCTTGGTCGAAACACAGCTAGAACGTATATAGTTCTCATTGGGTGAAACCCACGGTTCTCATCGAGCAAAAACAACTACTCTCTCTCGGACACAGGTGTGAGTCTTATTTGTGCACATGCGTTCTCTCTTGCAATTTCTATGGGAGTGAATGACTTCATGCCTGCAGAGACTTGTATTCAGAAAGAGCTCAGCAGAGGTTATTATGCAATGTCGCCCAAAACATAAAATAAAACCATAAGTGTCCGACAACTATAGTGCAGAGAATGAGCTGTGTTTGTTAGCTTTTGCGGCAAAACTCCTGAATATAACGTAGAAAGAACGGCGCCAAACTCGGCATTTTTAATCCTTCAGCTATTTCGCATGCATGTTTTAGAATCATGCGACCGGTATCTGCATCTTATGATGTGTTGCTTTCGGAAAAGCTTAGCATATCGCTAGGAACCTACCTTATTTTACAGCTCCTTGTCATCGCGACCAGCGCCTCTTTTCTATATACGAGGGAATAAATGGATGAATTCACGGGCAGTCATTAAAACGGTATGAGCCACTAAAATCTAGGCTGTATATCAACACGAGAAGAAAAAGAAACCCGACGTTTATGACGTGAAAGTTATAAATGAGGACTGCCCCAGCTGCATAAAAGTGAGGCCAATTATTTAGAGAACGAACTTCATTCCGAACAGGCACGAAACCTACTCTTCGCACCAGTGCTAGTGCGACAATTACCTCAATAGTATATTCACATTTAACTGAGATGTCCTCAGGCTCTCTTATAAATTGTCTAAGAATTTTTTCTTCTAACCTTCATCTAAAAAATTCGGTATAGGCCACGGTCGTGTTACTGGCCCCACCAGTTTACTTTTACAAGCCTATTGTTGTAGCTTGCTGTCCTATGGTTTTCTAATCTTATTTTCCTGGTAGACCTTAAATCAGAGTTATTTACTCCGGGTCTTCGATGTCGACTAAAGATGCGCTCGTCTGGAAACAAAAAAAAAATGACTGCAACTCTCAGCTTCACATATATCCACTGTCCAGCTCGAAGCCTCATCAAAACAGCTCATGCTGATCGACAGAGCCCTAGAGATGGCAAATTCCACAGGGGTCCTGGACTGAGTGCTCCACCTTCGCAGGGAGAATTTCTTTGAAATAAAGCTTTCCATTGCATTCTTTCGTAGCAGTTTTCCCGTTTTTCGGGCGCACGGGATCGGTACATCTTGGGGTTCGAAGAAGAAGGCGTTATGGCAGCTGCGAAGCGCGAGACACGAGCGGCCCCAGCAACGCGCTCGGTCCGTCCCCTTGTTCGCCCGTCGTGTCGAGAGACGACGACGGCCCTGACGCCAGCCTGGAGCATCCAGTCAAAGGGCCCGAGCTGCGGGGCCCGTTCCCCGGCCACCCGATGTCGGGGGGCCTGCCGCTGCCGGCTATGGCGGCCGCGGCGGCGGGCCGCGCTGGTCCCAGCCGGGGTCTGCGCGTCGCCATGTTCGGAGTGATGACGTTCATGCTGATCGCCGTCATCTCGGTCATAGTGGTCACGCTCTTCGCCGTGGTCTTTCTCTCACGCAAGTCGCAGGACGTCGTCATGCGCCGCCTGCACCCGGACCGGCCGCCGCAGGCTATGCTGCCCTTCCAGCTGCCGCCAAAGCACCAGGCGAGTTCTTGTCCGACGCAGTTTTACATTAATACGCAGCGATTTTTTTTCGTAGTTGCTGAGGTTGCGCGCTGAGCTCGTTGGTGCTGTCGCGTCAGCCGTCAGTGGCATGCGCGTCAGAGACTCGGTGTTTGCGCGCATGTGTCTCGCTTGTATTAGACGCGTTGGGCCAACGGCGGTTACCATTTGTAGCCATGCCATTGTCGTTCAGAACTACCGGAGGTTAATTCGACTATAACATCACTGGCAATGTTATGGAACCTATACAGGAAGTTCGGTCAGCAACATGTACGAATCCACGTGCCTTGTGATTGGATGTCGGCGTTTTAAACGTTCGTGCGAGCCGAGCACGATCCTGCGCGTCAAACGCGCTGCAAGCAAAACACCAACAAAATGAAAACAACACGCGGAGCGATGCAGAACGTGTCAAGTGCACGAATAACTAGGTTTCTTTATTGAGACACTAAGAATCGTCCTTTAATATGCAGACCAGAAACAAAAAATCATATCACGTGGTGGGTGGTGAAATTCCGTACCGCCACCTGGCCTCTTTACCACCTTACCCCCTGTTCCCTTGTATACCAACGCATATATACAAAAAAAAGCCTCACTAGCCTCCTTAGAATTGCAGCTGATGTGTGAGAACAAAGTATAGCGGCGTACGATGGAAACAATTGTGCCTTCTCTGCTTTATGAGGTACATTACGTTTTACTCGCTGATCCAGCACCCCACGAAGTCTGGAGAAGGTATAGTGGCATTCTTTCTAATTACAAAACAACTGCCTTGACCCAGCAGTCGTACCGTTCGAATAGCTAAACGCGTGCAGTACACTGTCATTCTTTATGAAAGGGAACACGCAATCACGTGACCTGCTCTCTCCAACGGCTGCCTATAGTATCTTGCAGCGCCTGTCCAGCCTCCATAACTCGTTTTGTTTGCCAATAGATGACGCCAAATGCCAACGTCTTTTCTTGTGCTGTCGGTTGATGATGGTCCTGTAGGCAGCTGCCGCACGCGCTCACGTGTTCCCTTTCACAAAGGACGGCAGTGTACATGTGCATGCCTAATTCCCTGAATTTTGCCCTATAGTGCTTCGTATATGAGCTTACACGATCCTGCATGCTTGTTATTTCCCTCTGCATTCGAATCGTCGAATAATTTGTGGACACAAACTTGAACCTGATTTAGTAGTAACTCATGACTGCGTCTGGTTAGAGAGGGAGGAGTGAAAGGGTCGCTTAATTTGTCTAAGGGCGTGGAAACAGAGGCGCGGCCAGAAATTTTTCTGGGTCGTTCATACCAACTTTTATGTGTATGCGTGCGTGCCTCTGTGCGTGAGGGCATGCAAAATAACATGGCCATCGAGATGGAACCCCCCAGGCTACGCCAACGCATGTAACGAACAACTTTTAGTATCTGGTATGACGGTCATCGTCGATCGCCCCCACAGGTGCGTGTCGAGGAGCGCATGGTGAGCCGTCGGAGGCCCATCTTCGGCAGACAGCGGCAGAAGAAAAGCGGTCGCAGGTCGCTCGCAAAGTCGGTCAGCAACCGGGCCAACAACTTCGTCGCCAGGATCCACCGTCGCCTCGGTCGCAAGCCGTTCTTCAAGCGCCAGAAGCGTCGATCGCACAAGGGCAAGGCGAGGCACAAGCAGCCTCAGAGGTCTTCCGACGACTAGGCCCCTCCATCGCGTCCCGCCCGCTTCATCCCGCTTGACAAATGGCCGGACCTGGGACTTGGGATCTTGCACCGTGCCGACCACCATGTGGCCCCGGTAAAAAAAAAGTGCGGCGGCATTTCCATCAGAAAGACTGACCGACTCCCGCCAAAGCGTGAAGGCATGCCCTACCTTCCACTTGGAACGCGGAGTGGTGCTTGACTACCATCGTTGAATGCAGTAATAAAAGACGGTCGTCGAGAAAAAAAAACGTAGATCCCACTCTAGAAATACTGCAAGCGAGATAAGCTAGAAGTTCAGGGGGGCCTGCGGTGAGATTTCCTTGTACCGGAAAGAAGCGAACGTTTAGGACAGTAGACTTGTCTTGAAGGCATCAACTGCTTTGATGTCTGCCAACTGCCTTGAAGTCAAGTTGCTGTCTTAACGAAGCCGCAAAGTTGGCTCTAGCGTCATTTCCTGTCCAAGCGATCTCTCATTGCTGCAAACAGAATAATTGTTGTTTTTGCAACGCCAGGTCCTATGACGTGCCGTCGAATGGGTGGAGGGAAAGAGCGATAGAGGAAACAAAAGTCTGCCTACTCAAACTACACCGTAAGTGGTCTGATAGCCCTCCTCCAATGCAGGAGCAACTGGGTTCGGTTGTCGCTTGTCGATGCTGACAGCCAACAAGTGAGTTTCAGACATGCATTTCGATCTGATCCTCGGTTTTCGGGTATTGATTTCTCTAGAAGATGACCATGGCTTCCTACATAGCTTATTTCCATGAGGGTTGCAAGAAATAAACGCCCAGCCTCTCCTCAATTCATCACTACTGCTACCCCTACTGCTACACGAAATGAGTCGTGGGGCGTCCGCCTCCAAAGTCAAGATGTACT